TGCCTGGCTTCACATCATTAACTATATTCAGATAACACAGATAACAGCTTAAAAAGTTCATAGGTTATCTGACCCTCTTTGCTATTGCATTAATTTTTATGGTAAAGCACACATAAAATTTACCTACTTAAACTTTTTATTTTTATTTTATTTTTTTGGTTTTTTAAGATAGGGTTTCAAGATAGGGTTTCTCTGTGTGTAGTGTGTGTGTGTGTGTGTAATTAGAACAGACACACTGTTTTCATTATTCTAAATATATTAAGATTTGATGTCAGGAAGCATTATTTTTTGTATCTATTCATTGACTCATTCATTTTGATGCTGTTGTAAATGCAACTATTTTCTTAGTTCTTCTCCTGAGATGCTCACTGTTAGTATGTTCGTAGAAGCAACCCTTTTATCTGTTGCTTTTGTAGCCTGCAGCTTTGCTGAGTGCATTTCTTGGTTGTCATGATTTTCCTATAAATTCTTAGGGATTTCCACATCTTGGATCTTGTCATCTAGGAGGAATCTTCTTCCTCTCTAGTGTGGATGTCAATTGTTCTGTTCCAGTTGCTTGGGCTACAAGTTCCAGTGCTGTGTGCAACAGAAGTGACAAAAGCTAGTGCCTTTATCTTGATCTTGACCAGCAGGGAAAGCTTTCGGTCTACTTAGTATGTGAGCTGTGGGCTTTTCATGTGCGGCTTTTAGTATCTGGGGGTATTTTTCTTCTATTTAATACTTATTTTTCTCATAAAAAATATTGACTCTTGTCAAATATTTTTCCAGTATCATCAGAGATAACCATGTGGTGCTTCTCCTTTATTCTGTGAAGGTGGAATATGAGCATATTAACATTGGGTTTTGTGTGTTGGACCATCCTTCTGTGCTGTCAATAGATTTCACTTGGTCATCATTTAAAATCCTCTTACAGTACTATTGAGTTTGTTTTGCATCAGATTTCATCAGTGATATGAATCTGTAATGCCTTCTTGTAATGCCTTCAGTGTGACTTTGGTTTATGAGCAACGTTTCCCGGAGACATCTGAATGGCTTTAGATGTTGTTGTGGTTTTGATATAGCTTGATTTTGTTCTCCATTGGCTTGAGTATTATTTCTAGAAGCTGGGTCCCACTTCTGGTGATGTTAGGAGGTGGTATGGAACATCTAAGAGGTGCTTAGGTCAGTTGGGGCTATGCCCTCTGGAGGGACTGTGAGACCACAGTGTCTATCTGGTTTTCTCTTGAGCACATCCCTGCCTCTGTTGTGCCGTATGCCACCAGGCCCTCACCAGAGCTAAGCTGTTGCTGGATCCATATGCTTGAGTTGCCGAAGTGTGAGCTAAATAAACCACTTTTGGGGGCTGGAGAGATGACTCAGCAGTTTAGAGCACTTGTTGCTCTTGGACAGGATCTCTGTTTTCCAACACCCATATGATGGCTCACAACTATTCATAACTCCAGTTCCAGGGAATATGACACCCTCTTCTGGCCTCCACATGCACCAGGCATACATGGTGCATATGCAGACACATAAGCATTTGAACTTTTTATGAGAATGTTATGACATTATTTCTCCCTTCCCTTTCCTCCCTGCAAGTCCTCTTATATACCCTGTCTTGGTCTTTCAAATTCATGGCCTCTTTTCAGCAACTGTTGCTACGTACATACATACACACACACAGACATACATATACATTCCTAAACCTGCTCAGTCTGTACAATGTTACTTGAAGGTAGGTTTTTCAGGACCAGACTGGCTGTTTGATATTGGATAACTAATTGGTATAAAACATATTTTAATCTAAAAGCAAAACAGCTTTTGTCTACCAAGTTACCCAGCCTCAAGAATTTTGTTGTTGTAACACAATACTAATGCAAAAGTATTCTTTTTAAATTTGGGGTATTTGTGAGTGAATGGTGTCAATTATTTAAGGATGTGGTAGAACTCACCAGTGAAGTCATCTGGTTCCCTACGTTGTTGGAACCTAAATCTCTGAAATTTTATTTATTAAATTTTGGTGAATTGACATTATAGGAATTAATTTCATCTAGGTCATACAATGTTTTATTCATACAGTTCTTTTTTTTTTTCTATAAAGTCAGCTGCAATGGCCCCTCTCTGGTTTCTGGTTTTAGTCACTTCAGTTTTCTCTCTTTTTTTCTGGTGTGCCTAAAGGTTTGTTGATAGTCACAAGGAGCAAACTGTTTTAAATTTTGGTTTCTCTGTTCTATTAATTCACTTATCTATGCTCTCAAATTTATCATTTCAATTTCTGTCAGCTTTATTTGTTCGTTTTTTGTTTGTTTGTTTGTTTTTCTGAGACAGGGTTTCTCTGTGGCTTTGGAGGCTGTCCTGGAACTAGCTCTTGTAGACCAGGCTGGTCTCAAACTCACAGAGATCCGCCTGCCTCTGCCTCCCAAGTGCTGGGATTAAAGACGTGCGCCACCACTGCCCAGTGCTTCATTTGTTTTTAACCCCCTACAATGAAGGGTTAGGTTGATTTGGGATCATTCTTCAGTGTATCATGGCTGTGACTACATATGAATGTCATATTCTCTCCTATATATGTTGATGCTTAGAGAGATTTTCTAATATTCTTTGAAAATTGGGTAGTTTGAATTTAATATATTTTGGGTTTTTTAACAACTATTTATGTCTGCATATACACTTGCATACCAGAATGAGCTACCATGTGGTTGCCAGGAACTGAATTCAGGACCTCAGGAAGAGCAGCCAGTGCTCTTAAACCACTGAGCCTTCTCTTCAGCCCCTATGTTTTGGTTCTTGAATGTCCCCAGAGGCTTATGTTGAAGGCTTGCTTGGTCCTGTGTCTGCACTACTGGGAAATGGTAAAACCTTTAGGAGATGGTTCTTGGTGGAAGGACATGGGTCGTTGGGAGTGTGCGTTGAAGGGAATATTGGGAACTGAGCCCTTTCCTCTCTTTGCCTTCTAGCCTCTTTAAAGTCCAGCGTTGTCCTCTGCTGTGTGCTTTCTCCTTTACATACTATGCTCCACAGGCCTAAGGCCACTGGGCCCAGTGAATGTGGACTGAAACTGCTGAAGCTGAGCAAAGCCAGCCTCCGCCATGTTGATCCGGGCATTGTATCACAGTGCCAGGAAGCTGACTCAGTATGTGCTTTGTTCATACTTCATTTCTAACTTCAGTACAGTTGCAGAAGACACTGTATGATCTGTCTTCTCGAACTAGTCGAGATTTATGGTTACCATGATTTGTTCTGGAAAATGAACTGGTTGCATTTGAGAAGACTGTATTCCTTTATTTTGGGGAGGAGTCTCTTAGTTCCAGTTCACTTGCAGCCCATTTCCCTATTGATCTGTCTAGTGAAGTTTCTTTTATTGTAATGACCTCTCCCTTTGAATCTGTTCATGTCTGATGCACAGGTAATCGTCACAACCTGCAGAACAGACCCTTTCTTGCTTCTTCGCAATTCTGACTGGTGAATGCCTCTACAGACATCAGACAAAAATAGGCTAATTACTTTCATCTATTTCTGTGGATTATCTTCTTCCATCCTCCGTTTTTGAGCTAAAATCAGTTACCTACAAGCAGGATATAGATGGATCCTGTTGTATTTTGTCCACCTTTTCCAACTTGTGAATTTTTAGTTGGTTAGCCCCTGTAGTTAATTACTGCTAACAACAGGCTTCTTACTGGCATTTTGCTGTTTTCTATGTGTCTTCTTTTTGCCTCACATCCTTTAACTAGTTTTTGTTTGCTTCTCATTTATGTTCTATAGTGATTTTGTCTTTGGTATGTTTTATGACCTAGCTGTAAAGTTGAAGGAATCTATTTTAAGCAGCAAATGAACCTCGACATTTGCAAACTATACTCTTAGAGTTCTGCTTCCCCCATGATGCCATCCTTCACTCAGATGTACAGTAGACATTTATCTGTGGTACTGTGGATTGTACCCATGGAGTCTTCCTGTTCGAGTGTGGCTTTTGCTTGATGGGTAACTGTTGCTGGGTTCTAACAGCTCCCCCTGGGGAGGGGTGAGAAGGCACAGAATCAACGACACAGACTCTGGGAGGCAGATGGAAAGAAAAACAACAGACTTCTTTATTTAGCAAGGGGCAGGGGCACCTCATATACCCTTCTAGCACCCAGGTGTTCTGATCCCTTGACACAGTGTGGCTGCTTCTCATTTGCTAAGCATGATCAGGATCTCTGACAGCACCAGGCAGACTCCAGGTTGGCTCCTCTTGGCCTGGTAAGCCTTAACTTCCTACAGGTAACTCTCTTACTGCCTCCTTAGTTTCTAGAGTTAGCAAAGTGACTCTGTGTCTATGCTTGCTGTTTCAGTGCTAGAATGTGGGGCCTGGAGCGTCCTCATTGACCATACTAATAACATCATACTTTTTATTTACAAAGAGGGCTCTCTTTAAAGTTACTTATATTCACCACACTGTTTGGACTGTCCTTTTTTTTTTTTTTTTAGAAAACAAAGTGTGTAGAATCCTAGCCCCTTCTGGCTTCTTATTCCTTTTCTTCAGTACTGCAAGTACAGATCTTCCTGAGCTGTCTTTACTGGGATTACAGGTTTGCTACCCTTATCATTGCTGTGGATGAGTTCCCTGCTCAGCTCTTTGGAATAAGTCTTTCACAGGCTCCTGGAACTCCCACCCTTGACATGACACTTGTTTGCCAATGGTTTAAGGAAAATGTGTGTGCAGATTTTGCGGCTCTTTCTTGAATTTCCCACCTGGAAGTCTGCAGTATCTCATCAGTTCTGGTCTCTGTCTTCAGCCCCCATAGGACTCCACTGTAAACCACACATTAGAAAAGTCCTGTCAGAAAGCTAGTTTAATATGTAGCTCTCGCCTCAAATGATCATACCACATGAAGATTCTGTTACTAACAATTCTTATGTATTTTAAGTTCTATCAAGTTTAGATTTCTTAGAATCAAAAGTTATTTTTTAAAATATGGGAGCTGTGATTAACTTATGTAGTAAAGAACAATCTTATATTTCAGCTATTTTTTTTCTTTTTATAGGATATTGCAAATGAAGATCACCAAAAAATTGAAGTGTTAAAATCAGAAAACAAGAAGCTAGAAAGACAAAGAGGGGAATTAATGACAGGGTTCAAGAAACAATTGAAATTAATTGACATTTTGAAAAGGCAGAAGGTGAGTCTAAAACAGAAGCCTTATCAGATATGCTACAGACCTTTGTACTGTTAAGTTTAGGGTTTTATTTTGTTTGGAATCTTACACATAAAATTGTACCTAAAGATGTACTGTATGCATGTAAAGTCACACACATAACACACAGCTTCACCGGTTAAAAATATATATACTTTAACATATTAAATTAAAAAATATAAAATGCAATCCTTCCAGACTAAAGTATCATACATGAAAATGACCCATTTTAGTGAATTATTTTCCTCATTTTAATATATTATTTCCCTTTTAAAACTTTGAACAGTAATTCCAAAGCACATTTCTTGAAATGTGACAAAAGACAATTCATACACCTCTCTCACTTTCTTGTCTCAAAGATCAGGTATAATATTGAGTTATTCTTTTAACAGTAGTTTGGTCTTGAGTGTACTACCCATTTAAAATGTTACATTTGCTTTAGGTGTGGTGGCACACATCTTTTTTTGTTTTGTTTTTTTGAGACAGGGTTTCTCTGTGTAGCTGGTCTCAAACTCAGAGATCCACCTGCCTCTGCCTCCTGAGTACTGGGATTAAAGGAGTTCTAGGTCAGCCTGGTCTACAAAGTGAATTCCAGGACAGCCTTAAAATGAGAAATCCTGCCTCAAAAAACTAAACCAAAACAATAACAAATATACTTGCATAATTACAATATGTGTGCCAACAATGGGACTTATTTTTTGATAGCATATAAACACAGATGTAAGTTTCCTGTTTGTGACTTTCTCTGAATCAGACAATATTGATTTTTTTTTAAAAAAACAGATGCATATTGAAGCTGCCAAGATGCTGTCTTTCAGTGAGGAGGAGTTTATGAAGGCTCTTGAGTGGGGCAGTTCATGAGTGAGCAATTTTAACTTGATGCTTCTAATAGTTTATTCAACATTAAATTGTAGTGTTTTACTGTTCATGAAAGTAATTGTGAAAAAAAAAAACGTTCTGGTATCAACCTGCTGAAATAAACAGGATGTTTGGGAGAACACTGTAAGACAAAGCCAGACTGCAGCACTGGCCTTACTCCTTTTTCTGTAATAGTTCTAACATAAAGAAGCAAGATTTTGACTTTTCTTTTTCTTACAACCTACCAGACCTGGCAAAGGACAGCAAGATGTCAGGAAAGACCCCCGAGACTCAGCTACTGAGGTCTGTCTGTTACCCAAGACTGCTGCTTTCAAACAGCAGGGAAACATCTGGAACCCACATCTGTCTTACAGGAGCCCTGTGTTCTCATTTTTAGAATTATGCACACAGAAATACCTTGAAAAGAGGGACAGGTGATACCTAAGTAAGAAATGACAGCACCTAGTAGCAAGTGTTACAGCTCAGGAGGGAAAGGTATCCTAACTTGTGGGGAAGTAAGGCTATCCCTGAAAGCTGCGAGTGGAAAGCATCATTGGTTGTGGGGAAGTCCGGCTATACCTAGGAGAAAGGCTGCATCTATGAAGCTGGGGTACAGTGGGGGATAGTCTCCCTGCAATATGTAGGAATTCTGTCCCTCTCTGAGAAAGCCATTACAGCTGAGCTCTGCTCCCCCCCCACCCCCATAGAAAGCTTCCCAGTAAAGGCACCCATTCCTTCCCAGCTCTGGCCTAGATGTTACTTCTGCTTCAGTCTGCTAAACGGGGAAACCCCTGCAGAAATCTAGCAATCTGCTCCAGAGAAAAGTTGTTACTTCTACTCCACCCCCACCCCCAAAGGGAGCTTCCCAGCAGAGGTATCCATTTCTTCTCAGCGCTGGCCCAAGATGTTACTTCTGCTTTACTCTGCTAAAAGGGAAACCCTTGCAGAAACCTCTCGTGAAGTTTTTTTACTTCTGCCCCCCAGGGAGCTTCCTAAAAGAAGTATCCATTTCTTCTACTCTGCTTCTCTCTGGCAAGATTTTCACCTAAACTCTTGTTTTAAGAGATTTATTTAAGGAGGAGGAATCCAAGATAGTGGTTGCTGCAGGGGTGTAGAAGGACAGTTGCAAACTGAATAGGCAGAGGGGCTTTTATACAGTGCTTCTTAGGGGCACAGAATGTTTGCAGGGATTGGATTTTCAGGGAGGGAATTGGTCACATTTGAACTTGGACAAGCTCAGATTGCCCAGTTTTGCAGCTCAGAGATTGGTTGGTTTTGTGTTCAGTTAGTCAGGGGCAAGTTGGCTCTGGTTTCAGGGCCAAATTGTGTTTCTTTCACTGGCCCTTTTTAATCTTTTGGCTCTAGTTCCAGGGCCAAAGTGTATTACTTTGTATTACCTAGTAATACCCTAGTGTATTACTTTGGCCCTGAGTTCAGGGTGGGTTTCTTTCATTGGTTCTAGTTTCAGGGCCAAGATGGGTTTCTTTGGCCCTTTTACCCTATAGTACTTACAGAAAAAAACAACAAAAACTTTATTGAGTTTTACCCTTCCTCTAGCACAGCACATAGACACAGAGTGACAGGAGAAACTTCTTTGGTCTCCAGCACTAGCCCTGTGACAGTAAAACCAGCAGACTCTTGACCCTAGACCTGCCCTGGTGGTAAAATGGATTTCACACCCTGTTCCCGAATAACCAGTGGGCTCATGAGAATACAGCAAATTTAACTTTACACAAGGGGCTCAGAGGTTAAGAGCACTGACTGCTCTTCCAGAGGTCCTGAGTTCAATTCCCAGCAACCACATGGTGGCTCCCAACCGTCTGTTAGGAGATCTGGTGCCCTCTTCTGGTGTGCAGATATACATGGAAGCAGTATGTTGGATACATAATAAAATCTTTTAAAACAAACAAACAAAAAAAAACAACTTTACACAAAACGGGAATGCAACAAAATACGATTAAAAAAAAGCATTCCTGAGGGAAATCTGCAGCAACAAAACGCCTAAAGAAAAAAGTGTCGGGCTGGAGAAATGGCTCAGAGGTTAAGAGCACTGGCTGCTCTTTCAGAGCATGGTGGCTCAGAGTCATCTATAATGAGATCTGGTGCCCTCTTCTTACCTGCAGACATACATGCAGGCGGAACACTGTATAAATAATAGAAGAAGAAAATGCCATCTTAGCACTGCAAAAATGTCCAAGTAACGTGCCAAAGTCAATCTGGTCAGTACAAGAAAAACAGGTCATGTAGCCTTAACCTGGAACGTCAAATTCCAAATGCTGCAGAATCTAGCTGTTTTTGTCATTAGTTTGGTGTGAAATACCAAATCTGACTTCATGTGACAGGCTGCAGGCAAAACACAGGTTCACTAAAAGTGATGTGTAAAATTACCCCCAGGCTATAAGGTCCATTATTAAACATAAAGGCCAGTGAAATAGTTCAGTAGAAAGGACACTGCCACCAAACCTGATACTTTTGTTCAGTGGGTCCCTAATCCCTGGGACCCACACGGTAGAAAGAGAAGAACCAACTCCTACAAGCTGTCCTCTGACTCCCAAATGCAACCATGACAAGCACAGGTTTAAGAATAATAAAAAGGTTAAAAAAAGACTTTAATTTCTAAAAATAAAGGATTAATGCTAGGCATGGTGGAACCTGCCTGAAACCCTAGTGTGCAGGAGGCAGGGCAAGGGTCAGCCGTGTGCTGTCCAGCAAGGAGCTTGATGCCAGTGTGGGTGACAGGAGTCACTGTCGCAAACACACCAATGAATTTCCATTCAGGGTCAGGTCCCATGTACCTTAAATATTCCAAGATCCCAACTTCTACCCCATGCAATTGCAGATACAGCATATACTCAACCCACATGAAACATGATTGTCAAAACATAGTATCAGTAACCTTAGCCAACAAAAACAAAATACCTATTAGAGATAAAAAGAGGGGACATACCCATTGTCCTGTATACAACAGATCATAAGAGTAATATAAATTATTGTCTATGAATAATTTGGGCAACACAGAATGAATTAATGTCTGGAGATATACAACCTGCCAAGAATGAACTATGAAGAGAAGGAAATCTGAACTGCTCCTTGGTGAGAACAGAGATCAAGGAGGTAAATCCTTAATAAAATGTCCCACTGGGAGCTTGAGTGGCTCAGTGGTTAGTGTTGCATGCATTGCAGAGGACCCAAGTTCAGTTCCCAGCACTCACATGACAGCTCACAACCACCTATGTAACTCCAGTTCCAGGGACTCAAGGCCCTTTTCTGGCCTCCATAGACTCCTGCACAAACATGGTGCACAGACATGCACACAGGGATACATACATAAAATATAAGAACCCCCCCCCCCCAAAAAAAAAACAGGACCTGATGGCTTCATTGCTAACTTCTACCAAACATTAAGAAGACTAACAGTTCTTCTCAAAACGTTGACATATTGACATGAAGACTTCCCCAAATTCAGCCAGGCAATGGTGGCACATGCCTTTAATCCCAACACTCAGGAGGCAGAGGCAGGCAGGCAGATCTCTGGTCAAGGCCAGCCTGGTCTACAAAGAAACCCTGTCTCAAAAATTTCCAAATTCAAGTATGATCTCCTTGATTCTAAACCAGGATAGGATAACAAGTCAACAAAACCAAACCAACAACCCCACATTCCAATATCCCTGGGTCAACTCAGATGCAGAAATGCTCACCCTAACCCCAGTAAACAACTTCAACAATGCATAAAAAGCTCGCTCACCATGATGAAGTGGGTTTCATCCTAGATAATTCAACATTCAAATCAATAAACATGTCACACTGACAGAGTGAAGAACAGGTTTGTAAGTTCAGTAGAGTAGACAAGCCCAATACTGAACAACATTGCATGACAACTGTCAACCAAGTCGGTTACAGAAGGAATGTACTCACCATCGGCAAGCACACAGCTAACATACTGAACAGGGGAAAGCTGAAGCTTATACTCTCATGACATTTGCAGATCTACAAAGTTCACACTGGAGAATTACAAATAAAACAAATTTTGCATGTTTAAAGTCTCCCGTGTTTGTGTTGGGCTACATTCACAGCTACCCTGACCCCTTGCCAGTTTGGCCACACCTGCAAGACCTGGAATCACAACAGTTAAGGGCAGAGGACTCAGGTTTGCTTTCTAACACCATGTGGTCGCTCACAACCATATGTAACTCCAGTTCCTGTGGATACAATGTCCTCTTCTGGCCTTTTTGAGCATTGCATACATGTAGTATACACATGCCTGCAAACACAGGTAAAATAAATCCATTAAAACAAAAAGGGGGGCCAAGCAGTGGTGGTGCACACACCTTTAATCCCAACAAGGCGAGCCTGGTCTACAGAGAGTGTGCCAGGATAGGCTCCAAAAAAAGCCCTGTCTCAAAAAAAAAAAAAAAAAAAAAGAAAGAAAGCTGTCTGTTACCAAAATCTTTCAGATCAAATCAACTGAGTAAAGTTGCAAGATACAAAACCAACACAACTTGGTAGCAATAGTAGCAAAAATCACAGGCTCAAGCTAGCTTGGTGGCAGAGCACATACAGAGCACACATGAGACCCCAGGTTCAGTCCCTAGCATAGCACACAAAGGAAATACAGAGATGTATTTTCATACACAGATGGCCAAGTGTGTAAAAAATTTACAGTAATCCCATCTGTAGTGTCTAATAAAAACACTTAAGACTGAATTTAACCAATGAAATTGAAGATGTCTATATTGAATACTATAAAATATTGATGAAGGAAACCAGAGACAAACAGCTAGTGTCTTAATATGTGCTCCCCAGAGAGGTCTGTAGATTCATTGCAGTCCCTGTGAAAACACCCAGAGCATTCTTCAGAAATAGAAAAAATAATTCTGTAGTTCACATGTCACCAAAGTGGCCTTGAGAATAAGAGCAATAGGCAAATCCCCAGTTAAATTCGAGGCACTAACAAAGGGGAGCAGTAGGTGAGACATTATTTCCATGAGAGCAATGTTTAACAAACAGTAAAACTACAATGAGCAAACACCTCAGCCAAAGTAAAACCGCTATCATATAGACATATATGTGTGCGATTGTATATATATTACATATATAATCTCTCTCACACACGTACACATGAGACAGGAGCTGGAGGGATGGCTCAGCAGTCTGAGCACTGGCTGTTCTTGAAGTTCCTCTATGCCCACATGGCAGCTCACAACTGTCTCTAACTCCAACCCCAGGAATTCTGACACCCTCTTCTGGCCTCCTCAAGCACTGCACACGTGTGATATACATACAAACATGCAGACAAATCCCCATACACATGAAATAAACCTTTGAAAAAACAGAGGATAACAAATGTTTGAGACGACACAGAGGAAGAGGAACCAATGCAGGCTAGCGGTGAGAATGTAAAGGAGTACACACACACACACACACACACACACACACACACACACACACACACACACCACACACACCGCAGCAAACAGCCCGGATGGGGGTTTCTCGTCATCATAATGATTACCAGGAATATGTAAATTTTAAAAAGCAGTGTATTGAGGAGATATATGCACTGTCAAAAGGATGAATAATATACAGAAACATCTCTGAACAATACTGGAAACATTGAGTACTTAGCATCTGTTTTGCCCAGGTAGTTCTATGGAATCTGGTTACACCACAGTATCATCGAATGCACAGGGAATAAAAGTGACTAGTTCTGCAGTTAAAGTACTGATGTGTTTAATTCTTGTCTAACTATTTATAAATGGTGAAATAGGATATTTTAGAACATGCAGACAGACACTGGGGACCTGCTGTCACCAACTGTAAAGCAACAGTTACACTGCCATCTGGTGGTGGTGTCTGGAAAGTTCAGGTTTCCAGCTGCTGGTGCTGATCACTTCTCTTCACCGACTTCACTCCTTTTTCTGATAGGCTTTCCTAAAATCTTCACCAAGCATGTCAACATCATCCTCTCTTTTAAACACTCCCTACAAAAAAAGAGCATTTTGTTGGTTACTTTTGAGCATGAGAGCATTTCACTGAATGCTCTTAGGGCTAACATGTGTGGACACAAAGCTAATAAACCTAGCCAAGATAATGAATCCAGCCAACAGGCTAGTGAAACTTAACTTCCCAAGACTTCAAGTATATACGGAATGTTCTTCATCTGCCCTCATTTCCTGATTTGTCACCTTCAGAGTAGAAAGAGCATGAGTGATCTACCTGCAACTATAACCCTAACCCTGCCTGGAAGGAATGGAGCTTAGTGTCTCTGGACCATATCTGCATAGTATATGGGGAGGGGTGGTAAGGGTGAGAAGGCTGGCCTGGGCTAGATGATGCAAGGATAGGCCTCAGTGCCTAGCTCATTTGGGGACACTGAGTTTAACTCTAATAGGCCCTGTCTGCCCTACGGAAGTACTACCTCACTAAAATGATGAAATTCAAAAGCTATCTTAACATTCATAGTCTGCTTTATTAAGTAAAGCAGTCATGGTGGATTTTAGCATCGGTCTATCATTTTGTATTAAATCTACCTAACTGATTAGAGTGTAAGACCCTGTGGCCAGGGACAACCTCTCCTCTCTGGTTAGGGACTGAATACAAAACACACACCTGATTCTGCATAGTCAATAAAGACCTCAAACAATAGGACTTGTATATTTGAAGGACTATGGCTTTATGAATCTCCGTGTTTATATAGACTAGAAGCTCATTAGCAGTCACTATGTGTCTCAGATACACATGAAAACCCACTGCTTCTCAGAACTCCTCTCAAAAGTGGAGGCTGCCTAATACCTCCCTACAACAGAGTCTCCTACAGATCAGACTCCTCTCAGATCAAGCACGTATCATCAATGGCAAGGCTTTTGTGTTTATCATCATCTTCAGTGTTTGCCCTTACATAGTTGCTCTAGGGTAGTTTGTTTTTAGATTTCTCATGCAACAAGGAGAGCAAAGAGCCTCAAAAGTCAGCTCAGGGACTGGGGATGTAGCTTACTGCATAAAGCCCTTGCTTAGTGTGTTCAAGGCTCTGGGCTAGATTCCCCAGCACCTCATAAGCTTGGCAAAGTAGCACAAGCCTATCGTCCCAGCCCTCGGGAGGAAGCAGCAGGAGGACCAACAGTTCAAGGTCATCATCAGCTACGTAGGGAGTTCTGGGCCAGGCTGGCCTAGACCTTGTCTCAAAAAGTAAGCAAGTAAGTAAATAACAAATAAAAATAGAAGTTCAACATCTCTGGCTCAGATAGCTAATAATGTTCCAAGACCACTTTTACGATAGGTGTCTAAAAAGGACTGTGAGCGTCAATGCCTGCCAGGATCTCACTGCTTCTTCAGAATAGCATGGAAGCACATGAGTTACACACCCCCACCCCAGCCCTGAACATCCTAGAGTTATGCCAGTTTCTCTCTCTATTGTTATACATCATGAAGACCACACACTCAAGTAAGCCTCACTTACTTTGGGGAGATAGCCTAGTAATTTTGTAGCATGCTCTTTGAGGAGTTTCAGCCTTTCTTCTTCAATAATCTTATTGATGCAGCCCTGCTGTCTTTGCTGTAGCTGCAGTTCCTCTAGCTCACGTTGCTGGGAATGAAACACAAGTGTCTTAACTGCCACCAAATACATTAGTCTCTTACAAAGTTTACAAATCAAACTGTTCTTGCAGTAAACTAGATGATAAGCCTGATGGGTTAATTGTAAGTTTAGAAGACAATAGTGTATGCCTTTTACATATATAAATATACATACCTGTATTTTTTAATACAAAGATATTATTTTATTTTTGTTTTTCTTATTTATTTTACATCCTGGCCACAGTTTCTCCCCCCCTCCCCCAGTCTCTAACCCTACACCCTTCTCTATTCCCACCCCTTAATCCACGCCTCCTCTGTTTCTGTTTAGGACAGAACGACATATTTGTACTTCTCTAACCTTTTAAGAACCAGTTATGCCCCACCCACATTTTGTTTTTCTTCGTTTAGTAGAACCGGGGTTTGAACCCAGGGCCCTTCACCTGCTTGGCAAGCACTCTATGGCCTGAGCTACAATCCTAGACCTTATGACAGGAAGTTATAAGAGGCAAGTATGTATTTTTAAGAAAATTTTCAGTATCAAGAAGATAATGTATTCAAAGGAGCAATTTCCTAATAAATCCAGTAAACATTTATGGAGTTCCCACCATATACCAGGTACCTAAGATACCCAATAGAGTTTACAGTGTAAACAAACAAAAAATTCCTAATGCATCAAACAGAGCCGGCTTATCTGAGGATCCATTTTCCCAGATGCAGGTATGCAGAACCCTGCAGAGGTCAGAGTCCCCGCAAAGGAGCTCTATCACCCTTCTTGAGAATTATGAATTCTGAGAATACTCTGAGCCTACAATGCAGTACACTGCAGATGTGATGTTGTCTGCATAGTCTCAGGCCCACAGAGGGACACACAGAGCTATCTAAGAACTCAGTCCCATTTACTGCACTTTTGTCAGGTGACATAACCGCTCTGATTTGGGCACAGCACAGGATTTCCCGTCTAAGTATTCATCCTTATGTCACATACTTTACAGTAAGTCAGTGTATATGGCTTAGAAAAGTGTGGGACAAGCCGGGCGTTGGTGGCACACGCCTTTAATCCCAGCACTTGGGAGACAGAGGCAGGCAGATCTCTGTGAGTTCTAGACCAGCCTGGTCTACAAGAGCTAGTTCCTGGACAGCCTCCAAAGCCACAGAGAAACCCTGTCTCGAAAAACCAAAAAAGTGTGGGACAAGGTCTGAATAGATTGGTGGTAAGAAACACCTTGAGGCTTTTTTTAGGATTTTTGTCTAAACCACAAACATTCTTAGAGGTAGACAGGATTGTAGACACCTACTTAGGCCTCTCTCTAAAATATAAATGGGCAGTTTAGTGCTTTTAGGGCTATACAGTGTCATGAATTATTAAGTTCTGTTGCTAAGACATCCACATCTGCCCGTGGGCCAAAACAAAACTGTTGTCATTTCTTACAACACAGAGCTAAGCTGACTTCTTCATACCGGGAAGGTTTACCATTAAATCCTAAAACATAAGTTGTGTATGTGTGTCACTGGGCACTTTAGTGATTTCCGTGTCTACATGTCTTGCTGGGTTATCTATGAGTGTTCTGACCAGCTCTGTAAAAGCCCTAGACAGGCCAGTCCATCACTGGTCCTACCCTTTTACAAGAGAGAATGCAAAGCCTTAGAGGCAATTCCAAAGCCTTTTCCTTTTCTGCCTTCTTAATTACTGTGCTAACAGTTACTACCTTCATTAACTCAACATTTATAAATATTTACCCTGCATCAAGCAAATTGCACTTTATAGATTATTATCTCCCCTACAGACTAGATTCAGGCCAAGACTGATTTACACCAAGCCTAAGCAATGGAGGCTTTTATCTGATGAAGAGTCCACCCGAGGCTTAACTGTGAAAAGAAATGAGACTTATAAAACCACCAATCGGCAGACTGACCAGTTATAAGGAGACAAAGCAGGAATGTCAGGGAGCAGGAGACCCGCTGGCCTCTTCGTTTTCTGTGACTATACCATTTACAGTTTTTTAGCTTTTTGAATGTGTTTTTTGGTTTTTCCTTCCTCCTCATCTTAAACTACAGTGTTCTCCAAGAGTCTATCCTAAGTCCCCTGATGCTTTCTCTTTTTACATCAACATCTCACATAAATCTCTTTTCTCTTTGTGCTACTTAATTCCAGGTGAGCACTTCCCAGACAAACAAACAAAAACAACCTAAGCTCTGCTCTAAAGTGTAGCTAACTGTACACATGTCCATTGAGTGTCATACTTGAAACCTTTCCATTATTTTGATTTCTTCCTCCCTCTACCCTACATACAGGGGGGAAGATACCACACAGTTTCATTTACTTAACAAAATATATTGAAATTCTTTCTGTCACCTCTTACTGCTGCTGTTTATAAGTCAGGACTACCATTTCTATTACTTACAGTACTGACTAATGCCTAGAGGGCTGTGCTTGCCACATTTAGAGTTCTTCATCTTCTTAAAGCATTCACACATGACTGTTCAGGGACACACACCATCCACGTATTCTTTCAGTTTTGTCAATGGAACATAAATATTTAAGTCAGAATGTCAGACTTACAAGCTGGTCCCCTCTCCAACTTCTAAATCTACATTTCTAACAACTAACCGATTATTTTGGTCATAAAAATCAATGTGAACAAACACATATTCCTTCAAAATCTACTTTTCCCTCTACATAATCTTTAGGACATGGCCTTCTCACTGGGGAGGGAAGTGACTACATCTGTAATCAGTAGTCACCTTAAGTCCTCACCACTCCAGATTTAACTGGTCCCCAGTGTCATCAGATCTGCGAGTTTGGCATCTGAGGAGCTCCTTGTATTTACATATGCCACCCTTTCTGAGACTCAGCGCACTGCTCACTGGTCTCCCTGGCTCCAGTACCCCCCTTTACATCTACTCTCAGTGCTGCCCCTTGAATCATCTTTCTAGATCATCTTGAATCTTAATATGCAATTTTCCTAATTCTTTAGTGACTTCTCTTGGGGGGAAAAAAAATCCATCATAATACACAATAATGTGTAATTCCTCTCTGCTATATATAACACCTTCATACCTTTATCATCACTCATGAAATATGCTATTTACTTTTATATTTTTCTCAACCAAGAGTGTAAATTCATAGATCACACAGATGTTGGCTCTCAACACCAGCACATAAAAGTCTGAATAACCAGATCCTGTATGCCTTAATAAATGATCATTCCATAAACTTATAGACCATAGGATCAGTAAACAAATACCCAACACTGTATGACACAGAAAGCCTCAGTGGATAAAGTGCTTGCCACACAAGCATGAGGACCTGAGTTCATATCACCAAAACCCAGGTGAAGTCAGATGGGTGTAATTCCAGGTTCTACTAAAATGGAGACAACAATAAAAAGAATCACCAGAAGCTACAGGCTGGCTAGCTACTAGGACATCTGCAGTGGAACATCAGAGACCCTGCCTCAAACAAACTAAAGGAGAGGACCACTGTGAGGCTTCCCTCTGCTCTTCACATGCACACTGAGACACACGTGTGCACACGCAAGCGCACAGAGGCTCCCAGTGAGTGTTTACTGATGAACGGAAGAGCTTTCCCTACTTTGTCTGCAAGGAACTGGCTGCGCCGCTCCTCGATGAGCTTCTCCACAGCCCGTTTGTGCTCCAGCTGTTTCATCCGTTGTTTCTGGGCATTCATGAGCTCTATCCGGTCGTCTTCTGCAAACTTAGCCAGCATGGCTTTCTTAAAGGTCTCTTCCTCCTCTTTTGTAGCCTGTAGAATTATTTCCTTCAGTGCTATTTGGTCTTCCAAGTCTTGCTTCATCTCCCTCTGCCTCTGCAGTTTCTGCTCCACTTCTTCCTGCACAGCAATGAAGGGAGAGGTAAGCATTTCCTTGCACATTCACGAGAGGGCAATCTCAGCACTGGGGGCAGAAGCAGGAGGATCAGAGGCTTGAAGGCAGCCTGGGCTAGTGAGATGCTGTCTCAGGAAACAAGAGGACAGATGAGAAGGACAGATTTGGGTTTGATTTGCATTGTAATATAAAATCACACAAACAGCATTAAGCCTTTTGACGACAACACTGCCCCACTTAAGACTATTTGAATCAAATGTATGTTCCCTTTAACAATTTACTTTTACTTATATGCATGTGTTTGTGTGCACGTGCAAATGCACATGTGTATGCAGGAAGCCCACTGAGGTCAGAGAGGAGGATTAGGGTACCCTGGAACTGGAGTTACCAGTCCTTGGGTCCTCTGAGAGCAGCAAGTGCTCTGAGCATTTGATTCTATGGCAGGCTTTTAGGCTATATCCAGTCTTGTTTCTAAGCTCAGAATTAACTGCTCTGGGAGGATCTTCTGTGAAAGCACCACTGAAAGGTTTCCAGTTTCCAACCTCTTCCCTTTGTGAAACCAAAGCTGCATGTTCCCACTTTAGTATTCTAACCCTCCTTTCATTCTCAAAAAAACAAAACAAACCTCCAAAGCTGGAAAAACAAACAAACAAACCACTCATCTAGCAATGAAATTAGAGAAATAGAAACTTACTGGACACAACTAACTTCGTTTCCTGTAAGCTTTTATTTTCTAAGCACGTGAAATTTTTCATATATAAAAAAGCAAAAATTTTATAGTAATCATTCATAGTGCTAGCACCTAAATTCTACTACACACATCTTGCTCTTCTTGTTCTATCATCTCTCTATTCAACTAGAACCGGCACAAATTTTAACTCACCTTTTCTAACCTAATCATTCTTGCCCAGTCCCAGCACAAACTCTAGGCAGCCAATGTGGGTACGCTCACTCTAGTCAGCTAAAACCCTTAACGTCTGTTCTGTCCCACACTCTATGTAAGGTAAAAGGGCCAGAGTCAAAGAAACACCCTGGCCCCAAAACCAGAGCCAGTGGGAAAAAAAAACAAAACAAAACCCACTTTGGCCCTGAAACCAGAGCCAAAGAAACACATTCTGCCCCTGACCAGTTAACTTAGTACAAAAACCAACCAATTTCTGAGCATGAAATCCAGCCAATCTCTGAGTTTGGGGAAGCTCAGGGTTTGAAATCTGACCAATTCCCACCCTGAAAATCTTCTCCCTGGAAAAACTGCCCCTAAGAAGCCCTGTGCTTGTTGAGTTTGCTGCTGTCTTTTTCCACCATGACAGAGGCAGCCACTCTCCGGGATTCCTCTCTCCCAATAAATCTTTTGAGCAGGTGGTAGTGGTCTTGAGTGGGTGTTGGTGGTGCACGCCTTTAATCCCAGCACTCAAGAGGCAGAGGCAGGCAGATCTCTTGGAGTTTGAGACCAGCCTGGTCTACAAGAACTAGTTCCAGGACAGCCTCCAAAGCCACAGAGAAACCCTGTCTCAAAAAACCAAAAATAAATAAATAAATAAATCTCTTGAATGAGGTTTGGGTGAGACCTTTTGCCAGAGTGGAGTGGAGCAGAGAAGTAACAAATTTCTCAGGAGAGCAGCAGAGTGCAGAGAAGCACAACTTCACCACTTTCAGTGGGGAAACCTTCCCCTAGAGAGCAGAGTTGTTACTTACACTCCAGGGGTCCTGAGCAGAACTGTAACAACTTAGCTGGGGAAGCCCGGGACAGAGTTGTTACACTGGGAAACCTTTCCCTGGAGCTGGCTCTAAATTTGCTACCTGTGGTACTCCTTGGCTCCTGACTGTCAGGATCCCTTTCCACCGGAGCTACTGCTTACTTACACTTAATGTGATACAACTAAATCATTCCCTTCTGAAAATAACACAGCCCCTCAAAGACATATTTTTCTTTAAGGTTCTAGGCACATGATGCTTTATACTGAATATTTTGCACTTACCACGTATTACACAGACATTAAAGGCTTGGAGAAGACAGTTTAGTTTGTGATATTTAGTCTGGAATGCCTCTTGAGTTTATCACATCCCTCTGCACACAGTAATGTGTTCTATATAGTACTAAATCTAATACACACACACACACACACACTTGTCAGTCCTGGGAATGTACTACCAATGCAAAAATTTGATTTAATTCAACAGTGAAGAAAAAGAAAGAAAAAAAAAAGGGGGGTGGAATATTTGGCCACAGTAATGTTCTACTGTGAAAACGTCCACTCTCTCTGCTAGATCTGCAATGAGGACTGTGCTAGTTATCAGTATGAACTGCCAAACTTCCTGTCCTTTCCTGTGTTCTAAAACTTGTTACACGGTCTTGAAACCTTCAAATCATTTGCTGTACACAGTTGGGTGGTGGTGGCACACAACTTTAATCTCAGCACTTGGGAGGCAGAGGCAGGTGGGTCTCTGAGTTTGAGGCCAGCCTGGTCTACAAGCGAGTCCAGGGCTACACATAGAAAACAAAACCAACAACAACAAAAAATCATTTACTGTACAGTCTCTGACCCCAGTAACTTTGCAGATTCTCTAGGCCCTCTGCTGTAATCATAACATCAAACAAGGACATGTGTGTAGGTGTTGTCTTACAAAGACAGACACAGGAAACAGTGAGAAACACTGTAGGAACAAAGAAGAAAAGCAACACAGGGCATGCCAGGAAAATGGTCACACTGTGAGCATGGAGGCTGTCCTCTCAGGACCTTCCCCGGGAAGGACAGGGGAGCGGTCACTTATCACTAACTGTCCAGTTGGTGAGAGATGGATAGAGAGGTCTGCTTGCTGCTGCCACAACTCTTCCCTCACTGTAGAGAAGCTGCCAGCATGGCTAATCTAAGCTCTTAAAAATGCGGCTCACAGCTGTACCCAAAGGACAAAGCAACAACATGAATGAATTTCCAGACCTCATGAAGTTCTGCTTGTGCCATGCAGTCACAGAACATTCTTGGGTACTCTTTAATATAACTAACAGCTCACATACAGTATCTTGTTTATATACCCATTGGCTAAAGACACGCAGGCTATGTTCAAGTTTCAGCTGTCAGAAATCCTGCTATGGGCATTTGTATATAAATGCATGTGTAAACACAAGATCAATGGTTTGTACCTATTCCCTTCTAAGACTTAAAGATGATATTTTCCACTAACCTCTGCTATATCCCACACTTTGCAACATTTTAAAAATTATCTTGCAGTTTGAAGTATCTTTCCTTTGCTTGTTGCTTATCTAGAAATACATGGCCTCATTCCTATACAGTTGTTCTCATTACTGATTCTTCACTGTAGTGAGAAAACAGATTTGCTGCGACTCAAGATCTTGTGATTGTACAAGGTTTGCTCTGTGTCCTCAGAGCTGTAGTTTGTTGGGAGGAGTCTTCTCTGATGTCAGCTGCATCAGCAGGACCACCCTATCCTTCGGCAGTGTGCTCTGTTTCTGGGGACTCAGGCGTATTAATGACAAAGGAACACTGAGATCTCCTACTCTGGTTGTAGATATTTCTACTTACCCTTTCACGCCTGTCAGTTTTGTCTCATGTATCATGAAGCTGTCTGCTAAAATTCACATACCTTAGGATTATCACATATATCTGGATGAATTTATTTTAATTAAAAACTTCCCTGCCCCAAAGTTAACTCTGTCTCATATTAACATACACACTGCAGTTTGCTTTTCAGCTGTATTGTGTCTTCCTTCCGTTTACACTCATTTAAGCTGTGTGGACTGTGAACAGCATCATGCTCTTTAGGATGCTCTACTACTTTGTCAAGGTTGAAATTTTAAGTCTTTTAACTGCAGTTTTTATGCCGTTTACAAACAATGCAATCACTGATGTGGCCAGTTCTAACTATGCTGTCTTCCCTAACCACTCTTCCGGTTCTCAGACTTACTTTCAGTTTCAGTTTCAGCATCTCAGCTTGTTCTTCCTGGTACAGCTCCTGTCGAACTTGCTCCAGGTCCTCCTGCTTCCTCAGCCTTTCTTCCAACTTCTGGATCAGCTGTTAAGAAAACATGTTTAGAACACCCCAATCGGCAACTGTTTCTCAAGTTCAAACACTCTTTAAAAAGTAGTTATTTTCATACCAGATTCTGACGCTGGGCCCTCTTCTCTTCACTCTCTTGAACTCTGGCCACCCGCTCCTCTTCTCTTTGCTGCTGTATGTTCATAAACTCTATGATTTTCCTGTTCTCTTCCTCCATCTCCTCACGTTTCTTTTGTCTCCAGAGTTCTTGCTCCCTCTGGAACGCTTCAATATACTTCTGAGTTGCATTCATTTTTTCTAATTTTTGCTGTCTTTCCCTAAAAAGCAATTGGGGGGTGATGGGAGATGTTCTTTTACACATATATATGTTTCTCTTATTGGTTGATGAATAAAATAGTTTGGCCAATAGAGGCAGGAAGACAGGCAGGACTAGGAGATGAGAATTTTGGGTAAGCAGAGAGAGACCTGGGAGAGATACCATGTAGCCAAGGAAGGATCAACAGGTCCAGATCCTTCTCCAGTTAAGATAAGATCACATGGAAATACTTAGTGTAAGGAGTTTATAACCAGGCAGGCAAAGGCCTGGCTGGAGGGAGATTAAGACAAAAGCTTACAACCAGGCAGGCAAAGGCCTGGCTGAAGAAAGATTAAAAGAAAGGGAGTATAGGCCCATTATGCAGCCATTGTAGATAAGAGTGAGAATGTGTGGTGTGTGGCAAAGTGTGATTAGCAAGATTTAGCAAACTATTAAAGGACCAGCTCAGAACTGGGAACTTTAGAGTGTACCACGACTCTATGTCCTGGAGCTCTCCTCCCCTAGCCTGAAACAACCAGTCCATCAAGCTGAGTGCTGGATGACTCTAGGGGGGTTGGAGGGTGGAAGGGGGGGGATGGGACAGGGGACTCTGAATTCAGAGGAACAGAAGTAGACAGCCTGAACCTGCAGGCTGCTGCAGAAGTACCCCCTGCTATGAGCCTATTGTCTGTGGTTTTTAGGATTGTTTGCTTTGGCATAAGTGTGAAGTAAAACTTACATACTCAAAGCCAATTCGATGAGTTTGTCATTCCTCCCAGGCCAAAACCTGGTAAGGGCTTGAGACACTTAAATTAATAGAAATGGGTTAATAATTAAGAGAGAGCTAGCCAGTAAGAGGCCCTAGCCATTGGCCAACAGTTTAATAATTAATATAAGTCTTTGTGTGCTTATTTTGGGGTTGAAAGGTGGCTGTGGGACCTGGCCAAAAAGAAAACTCCAGTTGGGGGGGCGGGTGATGGGATGATGGTTTTATAGAACAACAAAAAATAAATAGACTGCTTTAGAGTCGCTAATGCAGCACACTTTCTGGGTATCAAGTGTGGACTTTCCATGAATACTACCAGGTCTCTCTTCTAATGACATGGAAAGCATCTTATTTCAGAGAGGTGCCAGCTTGTCTGCGGAAGCCATACAGCACTCTGCACTTAAGCTGTGTGCCAAGGAAAGTCACCAGACAACACACATTCTGATGTAGAAGATGTACAGAAGATTTAGAAAAACAAAGGTTTAGGTCATTTACCACTTACACACCTATTATTTTTCAGATTATCTATTAATATTCAGGCTGACAAAGATGAGGAAGAGCTGTTCAACAAATGGAATAGCTCAGACTGGCCGCACACGCACACTGGGCCAGGCACCTCTGGGGTATACTTACAGCTGGTCTTCCTCATAGATCTTCCTGACAATTTCATCAATCATGAGTTTCTCTTTTAGCAGCTGCTCATATGCCTCCTGCTTTCTCCTCTCTTGTTCTTCAAGCTGCTTTTCCAGGTCCAGGTGGTACTGGGCCTTCTCCTTGTTCCGCCGGTCCTGCTTGACACTCTCTTCCTTCTTTACCCTCTCGTGTTCCTCCATCATGACCCTGGCTATTTCAGCATCACGTCTCTAGCATTCAAACGAAATTTACCCTTCCACTTTCAGGGGTGAACACAATTTATTACAGCACTATAAACAGACACAGTTATACACTGGAAAACCTGTTATATGAACAGTTTTTACCTATTAGGTTAAAAGCTAGAGTGGCCTGGAGGGTGTGAACAATGAGTCGGACCCTAAGGGGTGTTCCTAATATTTCTAGAAGCTCTTAGGCAAGGATAATGAAGTCCACATTCAGAAAATACAAAGTAAAGTTGTAATTACTTTACAAGTAACTACTTCAGCCACCAAACCATTGCTTCCTCTGTAAATTGATCTAGAGTGTCAGTTCCTAAGCCGCTGCTGAGCGCCCCTCCTGCCCACCTGCTGTTTCAGGCTCTGGACAACTCTCAAGTTCAAGCTGAGGCTCCTTCCTGCCACACATCCTTCTCTTTTATTTATCGAGGCTTAGTGTAGTGATTTCAACCGAAAAGGTCACATACATCACTGTGACTGTTCTCTCTCGTTTTCATTCACACAGCGCCACTCCCACTGAATTACAGACCAGCCTTCACGTAAATTAAAGACCCTACTTTTTTTCAGCATTTCCAATATTGGAGTAATAATGATTAAGACCACCCTTTGTGTGACCACATCCCAAATGCAGGGATGGTTAGCAGCAAAGAGAAAGAGGGAGCAGATTGGAAGACAAATGCAGTCATTGCTAAAGTAGCTGACAGGCATCGTGCATGCCTATGGTTATGACTTAACCACAAGCTCTCTTGTCTTTGCTCATGCTTCATTATTTTCTTCTAGAATATATAAGATAACAAAAAAAATGTATATGCTAACAAAAATGTATATAGATTACCACAGACTTAAAAGAAACATAGTGCTCTAACTTTGCAGATAAGGAAACTGACTAGGGCTGGAGAGGCGCTGGGTCCAGTAAGAGCACTTGCTGCTCTTCCCAGGGCCTGCAGTCCATTCTCAGTACCCACACCAGGCAGCTCACAACCACTGCCCTCTTCTGGTCACCATGGACACTGCATGCATATGGTACATGTAGACAAGCGAGCAAACACATATACACATAAAAAAATAATAAACCTAACAAGTATATAGATCTTTATTTAGTCAAGTCCTAGTAGTGTATGGCTCTAATTTTGTGAGTCAGTTTTGATTTAGAAGACAGTAGCAATTTCGGAGTCAACCATCTACAATGGCTATGGATTGTCTCATCTATCAGAGTAATCAAAACTACAAACAACTCAAACTGTACATTATGTTCTATTTTATCAATGAAAAAAACAGAATTATACATCTCATATACAAGTCTGCCCATTTTCCTTAGGTTGTCACTGTTAGCATGCTCTAGAAGACAGGTTTTCAACCTGTGGGTCACGACCCCTTTCACAAGGGTCACACATCAGATATCTTGCATATCAAATATTTACATTATGATTCATAACAATAGCAAAATTACAGTTATGAATCGTAGCAATGAAATAATTTTATGGTTGGGGAAGTCACTATAACATGAAGAACTGTATTAAAGGGTCACAGCATTCGGAAGGTTGAGAACCACTGTTCTAGAATCTTCTAGAGTAGCCTGTGACCATTCTTAAGAGTTCTTATGCTGTACCACACTGGTTTAAATATTGTGTTATCATGTCTATAATCCTTTGTGCATAAACATGTTTGCTGGCATTCATAATCCACATGATAAACATATACTTTCATATGTAATTGTCTGGCTCCTGTGTGAAAATGAGCTCAGGTGACGCCATGCACCTTGGTTTTGTGTGTTAGCTCAGCAAACCTCATTTTCATACCCATGACGCAGCTTCTGGAATATCTCCTGAAACTTGCTCTTCTGGGAGCAACCTTGTCCTCAAGAGTTAGACAAGGATGAAAACAGAAAAAAAGGTTTCCTTAGAAAACAAGAGTGGGAAAGGGGGATGGAAACAGGAGCCTGGTGAAAAGAGAGTGCTTATCAAACTACCAAGCTAGAAATACTCAAAGATAAAAAGTGGAAAAGCATAGCAGCCACATTCTAGGATACAGACACTGTACTGTGCTAGCTTGTCACGGTAAGAACACAGTGAATGTGGGAGCTATCTGGTCCTGAGAGCTCCAGCGTTCAGGCAAACACAGCTGGGTGGAAATCACCAAGGGTGGAACATGACAGTGTGGGGAACATGGCTGAGCGCATTCTTCACAGAAGCGCTGCTCTCAGAATCTGCCTGAGTACAAAGCTAGAATGATGTGAAGCAGCTTTACCATTTGCTCATATTTGATGGCGTCCTTCTCAGCAATCTGGGCAGCTCTCTCTTTATTCATGTAAGCAGCTTGCAATTTCTGCTCCAACTCTCTGAGCTCCATACTGTGGGGAGAAGACAACTTTAAACTTGGAGACAATATAAGAATTCAGCTTCACAGAAAATTTGGTGAACTCTTATTTACTCAAAGTATGCAACTGGTATCATTTGAAGTCCACGGTTAACTCATCACATTTAATGGACACTTGAAGGGGAGCCCTTAAGCTGTCTACTTGAGGGATTACTCTTTTCTAATTTAATCTTCCTTTACATGTGTGTTTATTTATTTGAACTTGTGGGAGTCCTTTCCTTCCACCTTGTGGATCTGAGATGATCCAAGGTGGATTGAAGCTTGGTTGCAGGTTAGTATTAAACTACATTTTATTCTAACCTAGAGAAGTAGTCTCCATCTTTGGTTGTCTTCGTAAAGTCTTAGCAATTATCTGGAAATTGGATCTCAAGTTCTGGTGCCCCCAAGTCTTGACTGTTAGGAAGGCATGGCTGACTGAAGTAATTCAGTCTTAAAAGAAATGTATTATAGGATGAGGAGTGGTGGCACATGCCCTAGAGCCTAGAAAAAAGCAGGTGGATCTCTGAGTCTGAGGCCAGCCTGCGCTATACAGGGAGTTCCAGGACAACCAGGACAGAGCAGTGAAACCCCGTCTTAAACAACAACAACAAAAGCCAAGTATTCTAGATTCCACATGTCAGGATTTTTGTAATTAGAAATCATTTTAAAATTCATCCTGGCTGGGCAGTGGTGGCACACACCTTTAATCCCAGCACTCACGAGGCAGAGGCAGGCGGATCTCTGTGAGTTCAAGGCCAGCCTTGTCTACAAAGTGAGTTCCAGGACAGCCAGGACTGCTACACAGAGAGACCCTGTCTGGAAAAGCAAACAAACAAATCATCCTGAAAGGAAAGTACCTAAGGGACTAATACTTAGTTTTCCCTATCAACACTAACACTTTTATGAATTTCTTAACCATTTCTGTGGGTCAAAGCTATGATTCAGTGGCAGAGTGCTTGTCTAGCACATGTAAGGCCCTGGGTTCAATACCCAGCATCACAACATGTAGTTTAAATGAGTATCTTTAAGTTAATGCAGTATTTCCAGGAAAACATTAACTGTAAATGCAATGATCTAAATAAAAGAGTCTCACTTTCAGGTGCTAAGGGTGACAATACGCAGTGACGGAGACTACAAATCAAGTAGCAGAAACCACGACACCTGTTCTCTCTCACTTGCTGCCTCATCTTTTCATCCTTCAGACTTTCATGCTTTAGTCTGGCCAGTTCGTTCGCAAGTCTCTCTTCCTGCTCAAGCTGTCGATCCTTCAACATCTTGTTCTCTGCGGCCTGAATGGAGAAGTGCAGCGTTAGTCACCTACAGCCTCTGTGCAGACTTCTGTCAAGTTGTGTGCACATTACGACAGCAAACTAACCGCCCTGACAGCAACGACAAGTTAACATTTCAAATACTTTACCATAGAAAAAAATTAAATATTACCAGTATTGTGAAGAACATTAGTATACCTACATATTTATTCTTTTCAAAATTTACCGACATTTTCCAATTTTTCTCTACTTTTGCATTCTGTTCAATTTTTCTTATTCTCTCGTTATCTCTACCACAGTATTTTTTTTTAAGATTTTATTTATTTATTATATATACAACATTCTGCTTCCATGTATATCTGCACACCAGAAGAGGGCACCAGATCTCATAAGGGATGTTTGTGAGCCACCATGTAGTTACTGGGAATTGAACTCAGGATCTCTGGAAGAGCAATCGGTACTCTTAACCTCTGAGCCATCTCTCCAGCCCCTCTACCACAATATTTTAAATCAAATCCTGGGGAGGGGGGCAGGATGGAGAGATGCTCAGGGGTTGAGGGCACTCACTGGACCCAGGTTTGGTTGCCAGCGCCCATGTGGTGGTTCCCATCATCTATTCCAGAGGCTCTGGTGCCCTCTTCTGATTTCCTTGGAACCAGACATGCACACGGTACACACATTCACATAGAAATAAACACATCTTTAAAATAAAACAAAACACAGGCTTGGCCACTGCTGCCCACCCACCATGGAAACAGCTCCATGTGGATCTATCTGACAAGACTTTCTTTTTCATAACCACCACCACACATTAGCAGCATTTCCTGAGTGAGGTCTGTGGTCTAAGGTCTTGTTCACAGTCATTTCCCAGCCATCTCAAAGATGCTCTTTTCAAAACCAAACAAGGTCCACACCTTGTACCTAATTTCTTTCTCAGGGTTCCTTTAGTTTATAGATTGGTCACCACCATCCACGACACACACACCTTTTATCCCCTAAGCCAATGATCCGTAGTCATTACAGCCTGTCTAAGTTAGGGTTTCTGTTTCTGTGATAAAACATATGACCAAAAGCAACTTGGGAAAAAGGGTTTATTTTAGCATAAGGTTCCATATTCTAGTCCATGATGGGCAGGGACATGGAGGAAGGAGCTGATGCAGAGAACAAGAAAGGATGCTTCTGAGTGGCTTGCTCCCCATGGCTTGCTCAGTCTGCCCTCTCACAGAATCCAGGACCAACAGCCCAGGGGTGATACTGATCAATCAAGAAAATGAAGCATAGGCTTGCCCACAGGCCAGTCTAGGTACTTTCTCAGATGGGCTTCCCCCTTCCTAAATACTCTGGCTTGTGTCAAACTGATAAAATGATTCTATTGTACCTCCCGTGTACTCTGGCTGCTCTCTCAGGAGTTCCCCAAACAGTCTCCTCTTATGTTTTCTGTCCGGCAGATATGGAGGCTTCATTACTCTCTGAGATAGGAAGCACTCGGTGGTGCACGCCTGTGACCTGGAACGCCGGAGGTCAAGCAAGGAAAGCACCAAACGTCCAAGCATAGCTCAGTCTCATGCTGAGTTCCAAGCCAGGGCTACATCTCAAGACTGTTTCAAAAGCAAGTAGCCAACAAAACAAAGGTAACACATGAAAAAGGTTCAGCATCAATAACCATCAAGAAATGCAGCTTAGGAACTGGAGAGATGGACCTGAGATTGGTCCCCAGCGCCCACCCACACCCTGTGGTTCAGCACTACCTGTTCCCCCAGATCTGAGAGATGCAGTGTCTCTGGTCTTCTGGGGGCACCTGCACTCCCATGAGCACATCTACACATAATTAACAATAATAGAAGCAAATCTTTTATAAAGCAAATTAAAATTACACTGGGAATCACAGTCTGAATACTGGCAAGTCCATTTAAAACACACACATTAAAAAAAAAAGAGTGATACCAACTAGTAAGAAACTGTACCATGCACACATTTCTGGGCAAGTGTCTGGAAACCAGCCTGGTGGCCTGTCATAAAACTGACAATAAAACAACTGTACTCTTAAGTACTTGTCTCAGGAAAAGGAAGCACACTTAGTTAAAAATCTGCATTTAGGCTGGTCAGTGGTGTTACAAGTCTTTAATCCCAGCACTTGGGAGGCAGAGGCAGGTGGATGTCAGTGAGTTTGAGGCCATCTTGGTCTACAGAGTGAGTTCCAGGACAGCCAGGACTGTTAACAGAGAAATCCTATCTCAAACAACAACAACAACAACAACAAACAACAAAAACAAAAAAAAAACTGCATTTAAATATTTACAGCAAATTTATTCATAATACCCAATATTGGAAATTCCTCATCAGGTGAAGGATCAAGCATACGGTTGTACATTCACACTACAGAACACTACTTGGCAATAAAAGAAAATAAGCCACAAAAATTAAAAAAAAATACATATAAAAATACAAATAGAAAAAAATCTTTAGGAAGACAGGATCCCACACAAAAACACTTAAATGACACTAACTCCTGATTCCATGAATGAAAAGGGCATTGGATTTGATTCATTAGAAGGGACTGTGCCCTGAACGAGGCCAGCCTGGTCAGGAGCACTAACTATGACCAGAAGCAGCTGGAGAAGCATTGAGAGAAGCAAACTCCATGCGCCCAATAAGTTAAGCTTCTCAGTGGGCCTTGATTCCCAGTGAGAGTGCATCCCAGGCAGCACCTGATTCAACCTGAGACAGCTGGGAGGGGATCCAGCATTCCTGTGTTTCTGACCCAGACAGTGTGAGCAGACTCGAGTTGGCGCAAACTGCTAAGTCTGCAGTAATGTCTTACACTACAGAAAGCTACACACTGAACTGCACTCCTCACACCATCACACAAGGGACTCTCACAGGCTGGAAGAGCAAGAGAGACTGGAGGAGACCAAGGAGACAGGCCAGGCCAAGTAACTTGTGATTTTAGACTAGAACAAGAAAGCCGTACATCTGAGTAAGTCCTGTAGTTCAGCAATAAAATGGGGTAGGGAAGGCTAATTTCTCTGCAATGATAGTTTCACTGTTTTTCACATTCTCTGAAGACGCTGGCATAAGAAGCCAGGAGAGAAATTTATGATTTTTCTATAGAGTTTTTGAACTCTTTGGTCAATACAATCTTGCCTCAAAATAGAAAGCTATAAAATGCATATTTCCCATATCTGCTCAAAAACTCCTAGAGGTTATGATAATCTGGGAATAACGACCACTCCCCCCTGGGCACAAAGGCTAATTCCAGGTGTGGCTCAGACATTTACAGGATGAGCCCTGTGCTGGCAGGTTGCTTCAGAGGGAGCAATGACAGAGCCAGCAAGCCCCACCAGCTGGAGGGTGAGTGACAAGTCGAAGAGCCAGTTATATCATTCTATTCTGAGTCTTATGTTTAAGACCCAGTAGATGAAATAACACACTTCATACTCAAGCTAACACCAGCGAACTTAAGACAGGGGAAGAGCCAATGTGACAATCAGAGTCCAAGGCAAAAAACACAAACAAATCAAAGGCTCCAAAGCCCAGACATATCTTAGCTTGAAGGTGGCTAGAGGAAGAATTAACTGTTCTGGCAACTAACTGCCTCTTCGTTCTAGTCAAGCCTTCACCTATCAGTTGAAGGCAGGGCAAACTGCTTACTCAACCTACTGATTTAAATGTTACTCTTATCTAAAAACATCCAGAATAAGGTCAGCTGTGGGCCCAGTCAACCAACACATAAAATCAGCCATTGTGAGCTACTTTGTTCTGTCAGAAAGTAATAAAGATATCAAAGATTAAAGGTGCTTTGAACAAAGAACACAGAAGCAACATAAAAGAGCACCCACTGGCCAAAGACAGGATAATCTAAGGATCAAAAGATATAACACGGGTTGGTAAAATGGCTCAGTGGGTAAAAGGGCTTGTGGCCAAGACTGAAGACCTGTGTTCAATACCCAGGACCCAAAGGATAGAAGAAATGTAAATGGTCTTCTGATCTTAACACATATACCTTAGCCCTCTTGCTCACTCTCCCCAGCCACCTGTGTGTGTGTGTGTGCGCGCATGCGCACACACAAACACCCACACACCCACACCCACACGTTGTGGGAGAGGAAGATACACAAAGAAATTTAAAATTTTCCAATTTTCCATAAGAAAGCAAATAGAGGCTGGGTTGTAGCTTAGTGGTAGAGTACTTGCTTTGCATGCATGAGGCCCTAGGTTCAATCCCCAATACTGCCAGGAAAAATAAAAAACAATAAATACAAATATAAAGACTCCTGACTTCATTAAGATATTCAATGAATTTTTAAAAAGGACTTGTTTTTATGGGTATCACTGTTATGCCTGCATGTATGTATGTACACGACGTGTATGCCTGGCACTCATGGGACCAGAAGAGGGTGTCATGTCCCCTGGAATGGGAGTTACAGGCAGTTATGAGCCGTCTACCACATGGGTACTGAGAAATGAACCTGGGTGCTCTTAACTGATGAGCTATCTCTCCAGCCCCATAAAGATATATTTTTAAAAGAGAAACTAAAAAATCAAGAGAAGAAAACTTCAAAATAACCACAATAAACGAAAAAACAAATTCATTAAAAAGGAACTATTTTCTCCCCAGCATAAATTGAATTGCAAACTAATCATGGCTTCCTGAACAGCTTCCTTTACAGAATACAGAAAAGATAAAGGCACATGTTGTGTAACGTTTTACTCTTTTGTCTTTTTACGGGGCCTACCACCCAGCTCCCAACCAAATCACTCATGGAGGATTATTCTTAGTTAGGATGCTTGGCTTGTTTCTTGCCAGCTTTTCTTAAATTATCCCATCTATCTTTGGCCTCAGTGCTTTTACCTTTCTCTATTCCTGCATTTCTTTTCTTTCCTTCTTACTCTGTGTCTGGCTGGGTGGCCGGGTGCCTGGCCCCTGACGGCCTCCTTCCCTTGTTCTCTTGTTGCTCCTGGCTGCTTCCCCTTTCCTTGTTTTTTTCCTTCTATTTATTCTCTCTGCCTGCCAGCCCCGCCTATCCTTGCTCCTGCCTCGCGATTGGCTGTTCAGCTTTTATTAGGACCACCAGGTGTTTTAGACAGGCACATTGACACAGCTTCACAGAGTTAAACAAATGCAGCATAAAAAAAAGTCACACACCTTAAAATAATGTTCTACCGTAGGCACACATCAAAGGAACCACACAGAAATAAAATGTACAGTCATCCAGAAGACAACAGACCTGATATCTACATTAGGTTAGAAATTCGAAGTTAACAAGGGGTGGAGGAAGACTTGTGTGTTTAGGTATAAAAAAAAACCGTATGCGCTGTATGAACCCTGCCTGGTCCTGATTAAAAGAAGACAACCCTAAAGGCAGATTTTGACATAGTGCAGAAATTTGTTTAAAGCCATCTACCAGTGAGAGAATGACCCTAAGACAGTGTGTGAAAGAAAATATCCCTGCTTCATCTGAGATGCACACTGATGGCTGCTAGACAGAGTGGGATTTTCCTTAAGGACAAAATAAGAACAGAAAAGATGCAATGTCCAGCATTTGCCTGCTCAGAGCTAAAGGATGTAGTATAAGCCACTGGCGCTCAGGACAGAAGGAAGCCAGCACCTTTAAGCCTTTCTTTTGCTATGTCCCGAGCCTCCCTCAAAATACTGGGCACACAGCACGCCGGTCTCCAAAACATCACAAACTATGAGGACAGTCTTCCTGTCACTTCCTGTCTGTTCCCTCTACTACAATCTCCTAAAAATATTTAGAAATACCCATGATTGATTAGCCAGTAGATCAGGATGTAAACACCTGCACATTGTGCCTGAATTCTTCAAAAACTTCAAAATATAAATAAACGTATACCTCATACAGGTTCATCTCCTACCACTTAATAATGGCCATCGTTAATGTTGGGAATTTTTACAACAGAATTCTTAATTTTATTAGAAATTTATAGAAAGCAACACAGTTGTACTCACATTAGCAAAACTGTGACAACAATTATGGATTTCATATTTATGTTTATTTATCAAGAAGGCTTATTCTTGCCACATGCTGCTCTAAAGGTTTTCACATTTGCTTATTATTAAAGCAATCCTAGGTAGAAAGTACAGTTATTGGATTCTATAAAGCATAAAAAGTGACCAACCGACACCAAGTTCTTCAGCAAAAATAACCAGTACTCTGAAGGATTCAGTTAGTTCCCAGCTGTCTCTATTTCCTCAACTCTGGGACTGGCAGTCATCTTCCAAATTTTCCAAAAGAAGAAAATATAACAACAAACACTGAAACTTACTTTTTGGATGGCTTCTTCCATGTCCAGCTCAAACTGCTCATTCTGTAGCACTCTGAGGAATCTCTTTCGTTCAACCCTCTCATCGTTTTGATTTTTCACGACCTGATTCTTGGTTTGCCTCTCTAACTTATTCAAGACTTGGACATGCAACGATTTGCGGAAGTTTTCGTCTACTAACTTCTGGTGCTTTTCACTGAAGCTCATAGCTCTCCTCCTGGTGGCCTACAATGCGGTGGAAAGCAAATACACAGTTCAATATTCCATGACCCCGTTTTTCAAAAGATGAAAATCCCTATAACAAACGATGTATACATAGGAAACAGTCTGAAGGGTCTTTGGCCCTCTTCCTAAATTCATAGTATACCAGATGAAAGTCCAAATGTGATAGGGTAACACAATGGCGTACTGATTAAATGGATACTAATTTGTAGGCGAAGCAGGAAAAGTTGAAGTAATTTAACTCAAAATTCAACAGTACCAGTGAGAGCGAAAGTCAAGCCCTCCAGCTGCAGCTTTACCACCACTTAGAGAGCTGCCCCCGAAAAAAGCAGGTTTAAAGATGTGTCTATCTCGGTGAGAGGGGAAAAGTGCAGAAAAGCCTGATGCGTACCTCAGGAAACAACCCAGAATTTTACAGAAAGCAAATCAAAGTTTCTCACAGACCTCTCGGATTTCGCACTTCGAATTAAATTTCAGAGGTAGCGAGCCCTAGACTGTAAATAAATAAACATGCAGTTTGGAGGTCCCCGATCCCCGCCCCGGCCTCCAATCTGCTCACCATCGTGGCTGATTTTAAATCTCCTCCGGCGGGGTGAGTCTCCAGCTTAAGCTGCAAACGCGTCTTCCCGAGCCGACGCCGCAGCCTCTGCTCCCTCTGCACCAAAGCGCGCCGCCCGCCCGAGAGAAAAGCAGCTTCCCATTGGCTGGAACAATATCCAATCAGCCCGGGGAATATTCGTTGCCAGGCAGGAGCGCTCCTTCTATAGGACCAAACTAGAAGGCGCCAAGTTCGGATGCTGCGCCCTCGCAGGAGCCGTTTACATCCAAGGGTAGCTAATCTCCACCGCCTGGAGCCTAGCTGAAGCCTCCAGGGACACCAACAACAACAATAACAAAAACAAAAACCCCCTCGGACTTCTCACTGTGATGTACTACGGGAGTGTCCTCCCTCGAGCATCCCCAGGGGGTGGCGAGCTGGACCCTGAGCTCAGGCCCTCTGGAAGAGCAGCAAGGGCTCTTGAGCACCGAGTCATCTCCCCAGTCCTGATAAACTCATTTTAAAGATGATATATTTTGAGAATTCAGAGACACGGACGTGACCTATTTACTTCTGAAGTTAATGCAAATACATGGTGGTTTTGAAACACTGCAAGAGACCAGTGTGAGGACGAAGAACACGCATAAAAGCAGAGCAGGTGTGGCTGACCACCTGCAATCCCAGTGCTCTGGGAGCCCGAGGCAAATGACCCCTCAAGCAGGCTGGCTAGCTGCCTTCTGTATACAGCCCAGGCACACCTACCCAGGGATGGCACCATCCACTGTGGGCTAGGCCATCCTACATCAATTAGCAATCAAGAAAATGTCCTACAGGCCAATCTGATGGTGGCAATTCTTCAATTGAGACTCCTCCCCAGGTGTATTAAGTTGACAATCCAAGAGAGGTTATCACGAGTAATCAGAATATATTGTATAAAATTTTAAAAAAGGTCTGGCCATCATTATCATATATAAAACTGTGGGGCACATACAATGCAAAACGTTTTTGAAGTCAGGATGCAGCTAACAATCCCTTGGGATTCTACAGAAAAAAAATGTGGCTTATGTATAAGTAATTTTAAATTTTAACTACTATGTAAAAACAAAATCTGGTATGTGTGTTATGGAATACCATGTAATGTCCTGATGCATGAATGCATTTCATAATATTTAAATTGGTAAACATACATCAAACATTATTTCTTCAGGCTGAACCTAACAATCTTTTTGTCTGGCCTTTTGTAATACACAGCATGTTATTGGTGTACACCCACCTTGCTGTGTATTTCTCACTATATCTTAGTAACTGCTGTAAAGCCTTTCCCCATCTCTCCCCACCCTAACTCTCCCCAGCCTCTGTCATCACCATTCCACTTACAATTTCTATGAGATCAACACTTTTTAAGACTCTACATTTTCACACAAAGGCATTATCTTCTTTTTTTCTTGATAAGAATCTTGAGATTTGGTATTTTATGTGCTTGGGTGTTTTCCCTGCATGTGTATCTGTGCACCGCTTGTATGCCTGATACCCACACAGACTATAAGATGGTATCAGCTCCCATGGAACTGGAGTTAGAAATGGTTACTGGAGCTGCCCTGTGGGTGCTCAGAACCAAACCCAAGTCCTCTTCGAGAGCAGACAGTGCTCTTAACCCCTGAGCCATCTCTCCAGCTCCATTCCAGCCATGCAATATCTGTGTCTAGCACCTAGATTATTTCAGTGGACATCTCCAGTTCCATCCATACTGTCATAAATAGCAAGGCTTTGTTCTTCTCTGTGACTTTGTCCACTTATCAGTTTATGGACACAGGTTGTTGCTATGACATGAGAGTTGAGAGGCCTCTTCGGCACACTGATCCCATCTCGCCTAGATATACGCCTGCTAGTGATGTGGCGAGATCAGACAGTGGTTCTGCTTTTAACTTTGGGGGAACCTCAATGCTGTCTTCTATAGTGGCTGTGCTAATTCACATTCCCGTCAACAATGTACAAATGTTTCCCTTTTTCTGTGCTCCCAACAATGTTTATCACCTGTGGTCTTCTTGAAAACCCTTCTTGCTGTGAAGTGATATTGCAGGTTTGACTTGCATGTCCCAGATCATTAATTATTGGTGATGTTGGCTTGTTTTATGTCTTTGTTGTTAGACCCATTGCCTTTTTAAAAAATAGGATTTGTGTGAATGTGCTATTGACTTTATTTTGAGTTCTGCATTATCTAAGTCTTGTCTCTGTTGCTGTGATAAAACACTGACCAGAAGCAAGCTGTGGAGGAAAGGGACTATCTGGCTTACTCCTTATAGGAAAGTTGAGGCTGGAACACGAGGCACAAAGACAGGGACGGAAGCAGAGACCATGGAGGAGTGCTTCTTACTGGCTTGCTTACCTACTTTTGTTAATCCCAGGCCTACCTGCCTAGGGATGATACAACAGACATGCCCACAGGCCAGCATGAGAAACACAATTGAGATTCCTCATCCCAAGTGACTCTAGTTTGTCAAGTGAAAACAAAACAAAACAAACAAACAAACAAAAAAAACCCCAAACTAATGAACATGCTTGTATATTCTGGATGTCACTTCCTTGTCAAATGCATAATTGTGAACACTGTCCCTCTATAGCACAGGTTTTGCAGGTTGTATCTATGTTCTGATTCTGTTCATTGTTTCCTTTGCTGGCTAGAAAACTTTTTATTTGACATAAGCCATCTGTCTGCATTTGCTTTGGTTTCCTACATATAAGGGCAATCACATGGTATTTGGCCACCCCCACCCCCTTCATTTTTTTTTCCCCTGGTAGCACCGTGGTTTCAGGCACATCTGGATCTTTAACCTGGTTTCAGTTGATTTTCAGGCTGGCTAGTGATGGCAATCTAGTCATGTTCCTCTGTGCATGGACATCCAGTTCCCCCAGCACCCCCTACTGAAAAGACTGCCCTTTGCTTGGTGGATTTGGGGGCAGTGGCCTGCAGATGGTGGGCTGTCTGTTCTGTTGCAGTGGTCAGTAAAGCAGCTTTGAACAATTCCACATTGTTTGATTACAACAGCTTTTCACTGTTTTGAAAGCCAGGCATACAATGCCTCTGCTTTCTTCATATCATTTTCACGACTTGGAACGTTTCTCGTAAAGCTGCTTCTACTGAAAACATGTTCACTAGCCTGCCACTAGCAAACACTCTCTTCAGCCTTGGTGTATTCCAGTCATTTAAAGCAGTTCCTGGTATTCATCAGACTTTAGTATTTGCTTGGTGAACAGATGGTTGAGGTCATAATATTGTTTTGCAAGTAGAGACAGTACTACCTAGAAATCACTTTTTAGAGGTATTGTTCTTCACTAGCCCAGTGAGAATTATAAAATTGATAGCAATTTTATCTCTATTTTCTGAAGGCAAACTTTTTATTTCATTTCTCTATTTCAATTCCCCTGATTTCTGCTTTTTCATCAGTATTTCCTTCCTTCTGTTTGTTTTTGGTGTAGTTTATTTTTCCAGTTTCTTAAATATTTGAGACCATTTATTTCAAGTACAAGCAAATATTATTAATTTTTCTCTAAGCTTTAGTTACCTCTCATATAGATTTTGATAGGTTGTGTTTAACACTCATTTGTTTAAAAGTATTCAGGCTTATTTGCTGATCATTGAGTGTCTTACTAACTTTTCTGTTGCAATGATAAAACACTGACTGAGGCAACTTATAAGAGAAAACATTGCCGGTGGTCATGTTGCATGCCTTTAATCCCAGCACTGGGGAGACAAAGGCAGGCAGATCTCTGAGTTCAAGGCCAGCCTGATCTATATAGAGAGTTCCAGGACATCCAGGGATACACAGAGAAACACTGTCTCAAACACACACACACACACACACACACACACACACACACACACACACACACACACTGGTACTAGAGGGCTAGAGTCCATGATAGTGAAGTGGGGACATAGTATCAAGAAAGGCTTAGAGCTCACATCTAGGTCTGTAAGCAGGAGGAGAGAGCATACTGAGTATAGTCCCATCCCCAGTGATACACATCTTCCAACAAGGCCACACCTCCTAAATATATCCTTCCCAAATAGCTACGGACTGGGGATGAAGCATTCAAATGCCTGAGACTTAGGGGGGACACCTCATTCAAACCACACATCGAATTACGTAGAAATGTGCACTCTTTTCCTTAATTTCTAGTTCAATTCCACAATGGCCAAAGAGCGCACTTTTCGTGGCTTCCATTCTTCTAAATCTGTGCTTGCTTACCGTGCAGATGAGTGGAGTCCATGCTTGTCTGTTCCATGTGCACTTGCAAACTGTATTCTGGAAAAGAGTATGTTCTTGTGCTGCTGGGGCCATAAGGCCAAGTTGGTTAAAGACACAAATTTGCTATCTTCATGGTGTTTCTGTCTGTCTTAACAGTTACTAGGGTGTGTTAAAGCTGGATGGCTGTAATTACGGATCGATTCTCTTCTTGGCTTTTGTTTGTTGTGGTTGTTGTTTTGTTTTAGCCCCATGTCTCCTGGGAGTCCGTGGGTGCACACAATTCAGGATTATCCTGGTAACATTGTGAAACAGCCCCTCTGGCCTTGATAATAATGTTGGCTCTGAGGCCTGTTTGATATTACCCATCCAAGATTATTTTTTCATAATTAGGTGATATCCCCATGCATCATTTTCTTCACATTTTACTTTAAATCTGTGTCTTTGTACTTATTCAACGGGAACATACACATCTTTGTGGTTAAAGTGACTATAGCCAAGGCTATTTATTTGATCTGACAACCTACCTTTCAATTGGTTTGTGTTTGCCATTTATATGTGATGTTATTCTTGGCATACATGGATTGAGATATTTTCAACTATTTGTTGGGCCAGTGAAATGGTTCAGTGGAAAAGGCAGTGACCACCAAACCTGATGACCTGAGTTTCAGCCCCATGACCCCACGATGGAAGGAGAGAACCAACTCCCACACAGTTGTCCTCTGACCTCCAGACATTGTGACATGAGGATGTGCACATGCAATGAATGCAAAATGGCTAATTAAAAATAAAGTTATTATTACATTTGTTCTTTGCTAATTTTCTTTCATTTTACTTATTAGTTCTCCAATTCCATTATATTTTTACT